AGGGTGCAGAGTGGCCCATGCAGGGAGTGGAGCAGGCGCTGGGCGGTACAGAGAGCAGCCAGTCTGGACTAGGGCTGCGGTAATGATGGCTTCTGGGAAGAGAGGAGGAAAGAGGTGAGCCGAAACCGGTTTGGCTCAGTGGACAGAGCGTCGGCCTGCGGACTGAAAGGTCCCGGGTTCGATTCCCATCAGGGGCATGTACCTTGGTTGCGGGCACATCCCCAGTAGGGGGTGTGCAAGAGGCAGCTGATTGATGATTCTCTCTTATTGATGTTTCTAACTCTCTATCCTTCTCTCTTTCTCTCTGTAAAAAATCAATAAAATATATTTAAAAAAAAAAGAAAGAGGTGGGATGGGGAGCAGCTTGGTGGTTGGTTAGGCTGAGAGCAGAGGAGAGCATTGCAGGGCTGGGGGCCTGTGTGAGCCTGGAGACCCTGAGGGGAGAGCCTAAGGGAGGGGAGAGCCTAAGGGAGGGGAGAGCGCGTCTGGATGGAGACCAGAGAGGATGCTGGGAGATGAGGTGGTAAGTCCAGGTGGGGAGAGATGGGAGAAGGCACAACTTACCATTGGAATGTTCTTTTTTATTTTTCCCTATTAAAATATATATATATATATATATATATATATATATATATATATATATATATATATATATTTTAATTGATTTCAGAGAGAAAGGGAGGAGGACAGACAGACAGAAACAAAAATCAATGAGAGAGAATCATTGACTGGCTGCCTCCTGCCTGCCCCCCACTGGGGATCGAGCCCACAACCTGGCAGGTGCCCCTGACCGGAATCGAACCCGGGACCCTTCAGTCCACAGGCCGACGCTCTATCCACTGAGCCAAACCAGCCAGGGCCATCAGAAGATTCTTGGTCAGGAAGCGACATGTTCGTAATTTTGTCTTTTAGGGAAATAAGCTAAGGAGGCAGAGAGGAGGCTCCTAGTTCAGAAGTCGGTGGTGGCCTCAGGGCTGAGGTGCCGAACCATACGGGGGCTTTTGCCTGGGACATGGCAGGTGCGGGGGGGGGGGGGGGGGGGGGGGGGGGCGGGTAGGTCCGAGGTAAGAGGAAATGGTGCAGTGTGAGGCCTTGGAGTGTCTACAGAGAATCCAGCTGGAGGGGCCGAGGAGACCCTGGGGAAAGGCCGGACTCAGGGCCAGAAGTGCATCTTGGGGGGTGTCGACTGTAAGGAGGAGGAGGAGCTAGGCCATCCTGGCAGAGGCCATGCAGGAGAGAAGGGGACAGGGTCAGAACCCCAGGGGCTCCATCACAAACCAAGGAGGAGAAAGGCTCCCGAGGATAAGAGAACCAAGCACGTCCAGTGCTGAGAGGACCCGCAGGCGGAGGCCTGGGCCCTGGGGGGTTGGGGACGGAAGGACCGTTGGAGCGGCCGGTGGGGACGTTTTTAACGGCCCCAGGAAGACCGGAGCCGGACCAGGATGAGTTGCGGGGTGACTGGAATGGAAGGCTCAGAGACAGGGTTCAAGGCCTCACAGCATTGTTGCAAGAATTCTTTTTAAAAACATCACTGCTGGAGTTTAAGGAAGGAAGCTTGATGGTGAAGAGGGGAGTCGGCGTCACGCGGTGAGAGAGCAGCTTGAGAAGGACCCGCACGAAGGGCCTTTTCTGTACCCCGGGCGGGAGCCCGAGTGTGGGAGGGGAAAACGAGCACAGACGGGAGGAGAGGAAGGAAGGTCCCTCTACCCTCCTCCCGGTGACCCCCACCCCACTATCGGGGGTACCTGGGCAGCTGTGCAGATGGGCACATGGGAGAGATGGGTCAGGGTGGCCTCCGATAGGCTGTGCTCTGGGGCCTGGCTTTTCTCTGGGGAGGAGGAGGCAGGGTGCCGGCCGGAGGGGAACAGAGTTGGAAGGTGGTGGAAGGTGAAAGTGTGCAGGGAAGCTGAGGGGGAGGAGGGGACTTCTGGGTGGCATTGAAGGCCCAGATGATGTTAAAAACACAACCTGTAACGACTGGCCTGTGTGCTCAGTTGTGTGTGTGTGTGTGTGTGTTTATCTTATTGATTGATTTGAGGGAGAGAGAGGAAGAGAGGGAGGGAGAAACATGAAATTGCTGCTCCACTTATTGACGCGTTTGTTGGTTGATTCTCGTTTGCCCTGACCAGGGATCGACCCCACAACCCTGACGCCTCTGGATGACACTCACACACTGAGCTGCCCGGTCGGGGAGGGTCTGTGGGATTTCCCCCCTGGCAGACGTGGCCGTCACCAGCAGGACTCCGGACTCCGGGGCTGCCGCTGGGCGGCCCGGGGACGTCCTAGGTGGGGGGAGAAGGCGGGTCTCCGCAGTGAGTGTCTGAGGTGACTGACCGGCCGTGGGGAGGAGGAGGGCCTGGGAGCTCAGGGGAAGTCCAGGATCTACGTCAGGATGTTAGTGCAGGCACAGTGGGCGGGAGGGACAGAGAGAACGAGCCACAGTGAGGGAAGACACCGGGGACAATCCCCGTGAGTGGCCAGAGTGGAGGGGGATGCTGGAGTGGGAGCAGAGGGGAAGGTCATAGGGCAAGGGTCAAAAGGCCAGAGTTGGGGGAGACCTCCCATGAGGAGGCTGCTGGGCCACCCGTCTGAGACAGGAGCCCGGAAAGGTGGGCAGAGCATCTGGGAGGCCCCGGCAGACAGCCAAGGCCTCGCGGTGCGGCTGCCATGGCAACCGGGAACGCCACTGGCCAGTGGGATGAGAGACCAGCAGCCTCCATGGGGAGGAGTGACCGCAGGCACATTCTGAGGGAAGGGGCTGGGGGTGGTGCTGAGGGGAGGTGGGAGGGGAAGGCAAGTTCAGGGAACTTGAAAGCTGAGTCACCAGAGCGGGCAGCGTGAGCCTTGAGCAGGTATTATGGCCACGGCCTCAGTGGTTCTGGCCGCACTAGCCACGTGACCTTGGACAAGCCACTGCCCGCTGGTCTGTCATCATCCGCCCGAAGTCAGATGTCCATGCCCCGGGCTGATGTGCTGGGGCCTGTGAGAGCAGCCAGGCTGGTGCCCGACGAGAGGCAAACTGGAACAGAAGGGACAGGGCAGGGATGTGTCTGAGGAGGGACAGGGCAGGGATGTGTCTGAGGAGGGACAGGGCAGGGATGTGTCTGTGAAGGGACAGGGCAGGGATGTGTCTGTGAGAAGGGACAGGGCAGGGATGTGTCTGAGGAGGGACAGGGGCAGGGATGTGTCTGAGAAGGGACAGGGCGGGATGTGTCTGAGAAGGGACAGGGGCGGGATGTGTCTGAGAAGGGACAGGGCAGGGATGTGTCTGTGAGAAGGCAGTGACCCACGGGCCCTTCCTTGCCTCACTAGTGACCTGGACGAGCAGGGACCCTGATGGAGAAGCACAGGCCACAGCCCCTGCCTGCAGCCCCACCTGCCAGCATGCCCAAGCCCTTAGCCCCTGGGACCGCCTCCCCCCATGTTCTGTCTCCACAGCAGCCATCTCCCCCCCTCCCCCAGGTTGGGGCTCCAGGTTCTGTCTCCCCTCCCCCTCCATCCACATCCCTTCCCCCTGCCCCCAAATAAAGGAACCAAAGGTGGACAATGTGAATCTTAAATTATTATTATTTCTTCCTGTCCCTTACACCAGAGGTGGGGGGTAAGGGAAGGGGAAGGGAACAGGAGAGGGGGGTCGCCTCCCCCCCTAAGGCACTGAGTGGAGAAGCAGCAAGGAGGGAGGGCGGAGGCCACATTGTCCTCACTCCCTAGGGATGGGCCCCAGGTTTTCCCCAACCTCGGGCTCCCCTAATCGCCTGAAATGCTAAGATGAGGCCCCGAGCAACCCGACCTCCCCCTACCCCAATATATTACATCATTACTTTTTTAAATAGATACAGGGACTGGTCCCACTACCCTCCTCCCTGTGACCCCCCCTTCCCCCACTATTGGGGGGTGGGGGTACCTGGGCAGCTGTGCAAATGGGCATAGGGGTGCATGGGAGGGCGAGCACCGGGCCCCTGAACCTGCCCCTTGTAAGGAGGGGGAGGGGCCGCGAGGTGGGGCGGGGGCGGGGGTCATAGTGCAAGGCAGAACCCAGGCCACAAGGGGGGTCCAGCACCCAGCGAGGAAGGGGAGGGGGCGGAATCGGGTAGTTAAAAATCTGAAACTAGATCTCGACAGGACCCAGGGAAGAGGCTTATGTACAGAAGAGGGCGGGCTCGACCCTCAGGGGGCCCAGCGAGGTGTGATCTCGGCCTCAGTTCAGGGCCCGGCATCCCAGCTGGCGGCGGCGGAGGGAGGTGATGAGGCCGAGTGGCCGCTGGGGGCGCGCGCTCGCCGCTGGGGGCACGGCCGCCAGGGGGCGCCGGCGGGCCCGCTCTCCGCTCTCCGCTCTCCGCTCCCCCAGCCCCGCGCCCGCCCGGCCCACGCCCAGCGCCCGCCAGCCCGGGGGCGGCGTGAGTCAGGGGCGGCAGCGGCCGCACCTGGGCGGGGAGGAGGCGGGGAGCAGGCGAGGGTAGGACACAGCCCGGCCCGCCCTGCCCTCTGGCCCCGGGGAGGGAGCGGCGGGAACAAGACATTCCCTGCCCGGGGACGCGGGAGGGGCGGGAGCACGGAGCCGGGCTGCGGAGCGCACCCCTGGCTGGGCGGGGCCCCTCCCGCTGCCCCCGGGGGCAGGCGCGCCGATCGGCCACCCCGCCCCCTTCTCCTCCTGGACCCCATGACTCAGCGCTGGGAGCAGGGAGCGGGGCGGAGGGGGGCTGGGATGGCTCCTTCCTTACAGGCCCAGGCCCCCTCCCCCCAGAGGTCGTCATCCTAGCGTCTACCTTGCTTTCTCCCCCACCTACCTACCCTCCTTTGGGCCCCCCCCCCCCTTGCACTGCCAGGAAAAGGGAACAGAAACCAGGAAGGAGGGGTCTAGGAAGGGAGGGGCTGTCTGTCCTTCACCCCCTGACACAGCCAAAGCCCCAAGGGGCGTGGGGGCAGGGCAAGGCTTTGGTCCCAAGCCTCTCACCCCCTAGAAACCCGCATAGCCGAAGAGGGACCCCGGGACCCCCCACAAATCAGAAATACATTATTGCTTCCACTCCCCAGGCACAGCCGGAGACAGGGACCCCCCCTTACAACAGAGCTGTCAATATGTACATCATCCTATCGTACGGGTCACTCCTTGGGAGATCACCCCAATCGGGGGAGGCTTTTCGCCCCAAAAACCTTCTCAAGCTTGGGACTGGAATCCGGGCTCTGGGGAGGAGGGGGGATGCTTTCCGACGCCAGGGAGGTTCAGTGCTCGGACCCCCGCGCTCTGTCTGTCCGTCTGTCCAGCAGGCTCCCACTGCTTGGCATGGGCGGCTGCTCCGCCCCCCTCTTTAAGAGGACTCCACGGCGCCTTCGGCCTGCTGGGGCGTGGCGGGGGCCCCCTCCTCCTCGTCCTCATCGGGGGGCCCCGGGGTGGAGGCGGGGGGCCCGGCGGCGGCCGACTGCTCCCAGAACCGGGACAGCGAGAGGCGGAAGGTGTCCAGGTGGCCGTTGGAGAGGTCGAGGCCGGCGGGGGCGGGCGCGGCGGCCGCGGGCGGCGGGTAGTGGGGCGGGGCGTCGTCCTTGCGGCGCCGCCGGGTGCGCACCTCCAGGCAGTTCTGGCCCTTGAGGTGGCGCTGCAGGTGGTCCTCCTTGGCGAAGGCCTTGTGGCACAGGTGGCACTCGTAGGGCCGGTCCCCGGTGTGCAGGTGCATGTGGTTCTTGAGGTCGTAGCTGTGCAGGAAGCGGGCTGGGCAGTGCGGGCACGAGTAGGGGCGCTCTCCGGTGTGCTTCCGCATGTGGATCTTCAGCTTGTCGTTCCTGGCGGGCGGGGGGAGGAGAGAGGGGCCCGTCAGGACCGGGGCTTTGGCCAGATCCCCAGGCCATATGCTGCCAGCAATCCCACGCTGGCCAATACCCCTCATCCTTTGCTTCCCCGGTGCTGCCCCAGAATGCCCCCGCTGACTGCATCTCCGTGTGGCTGGGCCCAGCGCCTCATCTTTCATGCCCCACGCCCACCCCTCTGGACTCCCTTTCGCCTGTCTTCCTACCCAGGTCTCTCTCCCTGTTTCCGGTAACCTCCCCCCCCCCCCCCCAGGCCCTCCAGGCTCACCCACTTCCCCCTTCAGGTCTCCGCGGCCCCTGCCGGCCCCCTCCCCACGGGTGCTCACCGGGTGAACCGGACGCCGCAGACCTCGCAGGCGAAGGGCTTCTCGCCCGTGTGGGTCCTCATGTGGCGCGGCAGCTTGCCGGCCCCGTGGATGATCTTGTGGCAGACGGGGCACTCCTGGGGCATCTGGGAGCGGCGCTTCCGCACCCCCAGCTTGTCCTGGCCGTCCAGGCCGGGGGCCAGGGCGTCCTGGTGCAGGGAGCTCAGGTAGGCCATCAGGTCCGGGTCGATGGCATCCTCGTCGGAGCCCACGTCGTCGGGGGACAGCGGGGGCCCGGCGACCTGTGCCAGCCGGTAGGCCGAGGCGTAGGCCGCCAGCTCCTGCTCCTCCTCCTCTTCCTCGCCCTCGAAGGGCTCATAGTTCATGGGCTCCTCCGGGGGGGAGGCTGCCCCCGCGGGAGGGCTGTAGCTGTCTCCCAGCCCGCTGCCCGCACTGCTGCCCACCCTGCCCGCCGCCGCCTCCTCCTCCTCGTAGGCCAGGGGGTGGGTGGGCACCGGGGGCGCCTCGGGCCCCAGGTGGTTCGCCCGGGACCCCTTGGTCTGCAGGAACGCTTTCCGGGGCTTGCGGCTGCGGCGGGCGACGGGCCGGGCGGGCGGCGGCGGCGCCTGCGGGGGGCTGTCCTCGCCGTTGGGGACCCCCGTGGCCGTGGCCGTGGCCGTGGCGAAGGCCTCCAGGTACTGGCGGGCCCGCTCGCAGTCGTCCTGGTCCGGGCTGGGGGCCTCCAGCCCGCTGCCCTGCAGGATCTCCATGCAGGCGGCGATGACGCAGGGGATCTCCAGCAGCTGCGCGGCCTGCAGCACGGCCGGCATGTTGGCGCTGCTGGTGGTCAGCGTGGCCGTGTAGGCGAACTCGAGCAGGGCCCCCAGGGCCTCGGGCCCCACGAAGTCCAGCTCGCACACGCCGCCGGCGCCCCCGGCGCCCCCCGCGGCCGGCGCGCCGCCCCCCGCGCCGCCCCCCGCCCCCGCGCCCCCGCCCTCCGTGAACAGCTTCTTGAAGTAGTGGCTGCAGGCGGCCAGCACGGCCCGGTGCGTGCGGTACTCAAGGCCCCGCGTCCGGATGGTGAGGTCGCACAGGTGGCCCTGCTGCCGCTGCTGGTTGAGGCAGCTCAGGAGCTCGCTGCTGTGGTCCGGGAACGGGATCCCGATGAGGTCGTCCTCGGGGCTCCCCATCTTCTCCTGCCGGGCCAAGAAGGGCAGGTTAGGGGCGCTCAGCCCCGCAAGGCGACCCCCGGGAAGGAGGACCCCCCCCCCCGGGAAGGAGACCCCCCCCCGGAAGGAGACCCCCCGGAAGGAGACCTCCCGGGGAAGGAGACCCCCCGGGATGGAGACCCCCCGGGATGGAGACCCCCTCCCCGGGGAAGGAGACCCCCCGGGAAGGAGACCCCCGGGAAGGAGACCCCCCGGAAGGAGACCCCCGGGATGGAGACCCCCCGGGATGGAGACCCCCTCCCCGGGGAAGGAGACCCCCCGGGAAGGAGACCCCCCCCGGGAAGGAGACCCCCCCCGGGAAGGAGACCCCCCCTCCCCAGGAAGGAGACCCCGGGAAGGAGACCCCCCGGAAGGAGACCCCCGGGATGGAGACCCCCCGGGATGGAGACCCCCTCCCCGGGGAAGGAGACCCCCCGGGAAGGAGACCCCCCCCGGGAAGGAGACCCCCCCCCGGGAAGGAGACCTCCCCGGGGAAGGAGACCCCCGGGAAGGAGACCTCCCCGGGGAAGGAGACCCCCGGGAAGGAGACCCCCCCCCGGAAGGAGACCCCCGGGAAGGAGACCCCGGGGAAGGAGACCCCCCGGGAAGGAGACCCCGCCCCCCGGAAGGAGACTCCCAGGAAGGAGACCCCCCGGGAAGGAGACGCCCCCCCCCGAAAGAGACCCCTCCCCCTGGAAGGAGACCCCCTGGGAAGGAGACCCCCGGGAAGGAGACCCCCGGGATGGAGACCCCTTGGGGGAGGAGACCGGACCTCAGCCGAGGCTTATGGGCAGGTACTCCCCGCCAGACGCCCTTGAAAGCACTTCCCACCCCTTTACTCTCCCACAATCCCTGGCGTGCCAACAGCCCATTTCACAGACAAGGAACCTGAGGCCCCGGCAGGGGGGGTGACCGTCCAAGTTAAGCCGGACAAGGTCCAGGCTAAGGCAGAGGGCGGGGGGCCTGTGGTGCCCGCGGCTCAGCCTCCGCGAGAGCAGGGGCCCTGACTCTCCGGCCGCTGCCTGGGACCCGTCCGCCTCCCCAGCCCTCGGAAATAGCGCTGGCCTGCAGGGAGAGGGGGCTGGGGCCTGGGGCCTGATTCAGGCTCCACAAAGCGCTGGCTGAAGGACACCGGGTGGCTATGGCACCGGCCGCAGTCCTCTGAAAGGTGGGCTAACAGCCTTCCGACAGCCTAGAGGGATTCGCGTCGGACCAAGGTCTGCCATGGGTTATCTCCCCGAAGCAAGAGTGGGGAACCTTATTTTCTGCCAGGGGCCATCGGGATATTTATAACATCCTTCTCAGGCCACACAAAATTATCAACTTAAAAATTAGCCTGCTGGCCGAAACCAGTTTGGCTCAGTGGATAGAGCGTTGGCCTGCGGACTGAAAGGTCCCAGGTTCGATTCCGGCCAAGGGCATGTACATTGGTTGCGGGCACATTCCTGATGGGGAGTGTGCAGGAGGCAGCTGGTCGATGTATCGCTCTCATAGATGTTTCTGGCTCTCTATCCCTCTCCCTTCCTTGCTGTGAAAAATAAAAAATATATATTTCAAAACAAAACAAAAAACAAATTAGCCTGCTGTATTTGGTCAAATACTTAATGAACTCACCCCTCGTGCCTCGGGAGGGCCAGACCCGAGGATTCTGCAGGCCCTCGGCAGCCCGAGGGCCGGAGGTTCCCCACCCTGCCCTGGAGCGTTGGGTGTACAGTAAAACGCTAAGCTTCCCAACTCCCTCCCCCTCCTCCCTGCCCCCTCTGCTCAAAATGCATCTCCCCGCCTATGTCCCCTCTTCTCAAGGCCAGAAGGGAAACAGCTCCCAGCATCCCGTGCTCCCCCCCCCAACACACACACACATCCTTCCCTCCCCCGTGGGGCCAAGGAGCAGCAGTGCTTTGCTGGGGTGTCGCTGGCTCGGGTGCTTCCTGCCCCGCAGATAAGCATCGTCCCCGCCCCTCCCCCACTGCCAATAGGCCAAGTTCCAGTCCCACCCCTCTCTACCTCTGCTACCACCACCACCATCACCGCAACCTCTCCCGCTCCATCCCGGCCCCAGAGGGCCGTCCCCCAGCCTCTGGGCTTTCCCCCACCCGCCCGCCCACTCCGCATGCCCAGAGGAGGGTACGCTGCCAGCAATCCCAAGGGGAAGGGGTGGTGGAGAGTCTGGCCTGCCTGGAAGTGTGGCGATCTGTCTGCCTCAGGTCTTGGCTCTCCTGCTGCTGCCGCCGGCTTGCGGAATGAGCTTGGGCAAGTCATTTCAACCCCAGACTTTAATCTCCTTAGCTGCACCAGGAGGGGGTGGGAGGGGAGGCCCGAGGGGGTGGGAGTGGAAGCCCCTTTATTCCTGACATGAAGACAAAAGTCGGGGCCTGGGAAGAGCTGGGCTCTGGAACCCTCACTCTGCACAGATTAGCTCCGTGACCTTCAACGAGGGATTCCATCTCTGCATCTCCTTCCTCCTCTACAACAGGAGGCCTAGGATGGAGGTGGCTCTGGCAAAGTGTGGCACCGGTCTGAGCCTGACACCACAGCAGGGGCTCGGTAAAAGCTGGGCCTTGGGAGGGAGAAGCCAGGCCTGGCCTGAGGGCAGATTCCACTGCCCAGGAGGCCTCCCGCCTCGCCTCCACTAGGGCTAGGAAAGATCTGCCTGCCTCCCTCCCTCCCTCAGTCATCCCCCCAGGAGTCGAGTTACGACCAGCGACATGACCTTGGACAAGTCACTTCCTTTCCCGAGGAGGCCCGAAGGGACCTAGAAGGGACTTGACCTAGATGATCCCGAGGACAAGGCGGACCCCTGACATTTCCCTCGGGTTCCTGTCACTCCCCGAGGCCGCTGGGCCGGTGTGGATGGGGAAAGGTATTTGGGGGGAGGAGCCGGGGGAGGCCAGGGCCACGCATGCGTTTCCTCTTTAAGACATAAGAACCGCATTGTCTGTGCCTGCCTCCTGCCTGGCACCTTCATGGCGATGCCAACACGGCACAGCAGCTCGGAGTGAGTGGCACCCACGTGAGGGTCTCGGGCTTCGCAGCCACACCTCAGTGGCCTTAGGACAGTCCGCCGCTCCCACCGTAAGTCCCCAAGCCACGTCCCTCCCCGGGGCCGCCGTGTGGGAGCTCCCCGGGCCTGAGGCCCTCCTGCCCGCACGTCACAAACAGTACCCGCCTGGGCGGCTCCAGGGCTCAGAACAAACAGCCCGGTGGGCAGACGCAGCAGTGGCCACCCTCCTGGGCCCAGGCAGATCCTGTCCTTCCAGAGGGGGATGGGTGTGGCTGCCCTCCTTGTCCATTGGCCGGGAGCTGGACACCCACAGGCACGTGGCTCATCCCATCCCTCTCCCTCCCTCCCCGCCCCACCCATTCCCGCTGCTCAGCCCGCCCCCTCTCTCCCACCCTGGGGCCAGTCTCCATGGCAGTGCGGTGTGGTGGGGGCACCGGCCGGCTGACCCTGCTGCCAGGCCAGAAGCTCGGGCTGGCACACTGCACCATGTGCACCGGGCTTGGGCCAAGGTGGGTATTTAACCCCTTAGGTCCAGCTCCCATGCCCATGCCACCAGGTAGCAATGGAGGAGGGAAGAGGCCGAGGGCACAAGGCACACGTGGGAAGGGCAGGTATTCGTAGGGTTCTCTAGCTTCTGGGAAACTCCCCCAGCCCTTACCCAGGGCTCTGGCACCCAAGCCAACCTAGGTGCCACCTGGAACTACGCTGGTGCCAACCAGGCCAAGGGGGCACTCCTAGCCCCATCATCTGGGAGGGGTGGACGGGGTGGAGGCCTCCCCCTTCTCTCTGCCAGGGTGGGGCACTGGTGCCAGGATGCCCACCCCACCTTGGGCACCCTTCCCACCTCTGCATCCCAGAGGGCCCAGCCCCCTGACGCCCCATGAGGGCGGCCCATCCCCGCCCAGCCTGGCATGCCCCCTCTTGCTAAGACCTTGTGGGCATGGGCGTGTGGTGGTGGGGGGGCAGCTGTGCCAGGGAACCAGGCGAGGTCTGTTTGGTCTGTTTGCCTGGTAGGGGGAAGAACTGGGGGGCCCCGCCCCATCGCTCCCCCCTTTCCTGCCACCCCCCAGGCTCCCCTCACTGTCGGGCCTGCTAGACCGGCCAAGCCAGTGGGCAGCTCTCTTGAAACTGGGCCCTGAGTCAAGCCTGCCCCATCGCCGATGGGGGAAGACTTTGGGGTGAGAGAGGCAGGAGCCCTCCGTGCCCAAGGGCAGCTGCCAGGGCGTGCCCACCGCCGAGAACCCAAAGGCAGAGGCCGTGAGGAGGCCCGAGCCTGGGAAGGAACGGAGGCCAGGGCGCTTTCCAGGGCTGACCTCAGGCAGCGTCCAGAGCCGGGGCGGGGGCACCGGGGCCAGCAGCGCCGGCTCCCGCCAGCTCAGGAGCTGGGCGCCGAGGCCCCGCGGGGGCAGCTGAGTGACGCCGGCCCCCCTTCCCCGCACCCTGGGGATTAGGGGAGTGAGGCTTAGTGTGGGGGGCAGCAGGCGGAACCAGGATTAGCAGCGGAGAAAATAGATATGGGCCCGAGACACGGCCACACGGAGCGCCCCCGCCACGGGCTCCGAGGCCCCCACCTCGGGCTCTGCCAGGGCACCCGCCCAGCGGGCCAGGCCTCTCCAGGTGCAGCGGCGGCCGGGGGCAAGGGGGCAGGAGGACCGGGCTGTGACAGCCTCCCGCCAGGGGCGATGGGGAGACCCACACGGCCAGCCCCCTCTCCCCCTTCCTTCATTCTCCTCGCCATCCCTCAATTCCCACCTGACTCCAGCCTCGGGTTCTCTTCCTGTTTTTTTTTAATGTTTTTTTTTGAGCTAAGTTTGCACGAAGCCCAGGGCTCTGGCCTGTGGCTGGACCAGGGGCTTGGGGAACTAGGACAGCCGGTCCGAAGTCCTCGGGGACCCAGGAATCCCGGTTTCCTCCGCGTCTCCCACCCCTGCCCGGGGCCTCTGGGGCCCGGGGCCGGAGCCATCTGGACCGCCTGGCTGGGAAGGCAGGGTGAGGGGTGAGCTGAGTCCCCCGCCGGGTCTGACGGACTTCGGAGGGACGGCGCTGCCCGGGGATGCCCGCCCGTCCATGGAGCCCTCCCCTCACCGCCCCAGCCCCTCCAAAGCGGGCGCATGGCCTCCCCCTCCCCCATAGGCTGCTTCCCCTCCGAACTTCACCACCCCCGGCTCTCACACTTCCTGGGGGCCTAGGCGGGGAAGGGAGACCGCAAGCCACGAAGGGGGAAGGAGGCGAGGGGAGCCGGCTGCTTCCCGGTGCTGTTGGGGCTCAGCTTCTCCTCCCTCAAAATCCCCAATTCCTGGTGCCTCAGCCCCTGAGATGGGGGGACCTCAGTGCTCTCTCACACGCTCTACCCCGGGACACGGGCCCCAGCCCCCCGCTCCCCGGCCCGCACCGGGGGCCTAGGAGGAAGAGAAAAGATGGCGGAGGGAGGGATGAGGGTACCTCCCTCTCACCCAGCCTTCCCCTCTTCATCTTGGGGGACCCCTGCCCATCCGCGAGGCTCCAGCCTGGGCCCCTTGTCTTGGCTTCCTGCTCTGTCCCCAGGTGCCTTCTCCGACCCTTGTCCCCTCTCCGCCACGCGTTCTCCCTTCAGCCCTTGCCCGGCTCCTGCCTCCACTGCCACCTCCGGGCCCGGAGGCCTCGCCCTCTCCCGCCCGGTTCTCTCTCAGGTCTCTCCCACTTTCTCCGAGTCGCCCTCCTCCACGGGTCTCTGATCCTCTCCCCAGGGCGCTCAGCTCAGCAGAGAGAGGGACCGAGGGATTCCATCAAGGAGCCTGGCCTGCCCCCTAAGGCCTGGCGCGGCCACGGGATGGCCACGTTAGGGCACCCATGCCTCCCTCCCAAACGAAGCACAGGACCAAAACCGGGGGCCGGTTGGGGAGCATGGGTGGGGGGTACAGTGAAAGCGGATGTGGGGGGGAAGGAGGACAACCCAGGCTTCTCTGCCCGTCAGAGTTTCCAGCCCTGAAGCTGCTGGACTTTCCCCGGAGGTGCCCACCCTGAGCCAGGCGCCTGCCCGGCACAGCCCGCAGCCACCAGGGTTCCCAGCAGGGTCCGCCCGAGGCTGCCAGCTCCTCTTGGGGCCCCGAGGAGATGGCACAAGGTGCCAGGGTCTGCCCGGTGCCCACCCCCTCCCCCCAGCCTGGTGTCTCTGGCTGGGTAATTGAGCCGGCTGGTAATCGCACACCCGCCAAGCCGACAGCAGAAACCTGAGCCCCCCAGCCCCAGAGGACACCCCAGCTCTATCCCCGGAGCCCGGCTCCCTGCCAGCCCGTCCGACCTCCTGTCCTGGCGCAGCGCAGCAACCCCAGCTCCCGCAGGCCCCTTCTCGGGCTCTGCTGTGCCCCTGGGTCCCCCGGACACGGAGGCCTCCCCATGCTCTGCTCCCCGGAACTTCGGCTCCCTAACCCCCCAGAGACGCGTGGACACCCTCTTCCAAACCTGTTTTCCAGCCCCTCTCTGACCCTTGTCCAATTCTAGGCCTCCAAGCCTCCCCAGGGCCTGAGCTCCCCAGCCGGCGCGGGGCCTACTCACCTGAACGCGGAGGGGCCTTGCCGGCAACTCCTCTTGGCCCCTGGGGGGGAGCGGGCTGGGAGGGGTGGGGGAGGGCCCGGCAGGGGGGTAGGTGGGGTGGCTGTTCCTCGCTCCAGCTCCCTCCTTCAAAAGGGCCGCCCACGACCTGGCCCAGCCCCTCCCCCCACAGCCTGAACTCTCTGGGTGCTACCCCCTCCCCCCGGCTTGGAGGGAGGGGTTACCAGAGGGCTGGAAGCGTGGGAGAGGGCCTGAGTCTCCGCCGTGGTGCAGAGCCCCAGCTGCACCCACCCCCGCCTGCCCTCCGTCCCGAAAGGGGAAAAGGTGAGCAGGAGGAAAGGTAGGCGCCAGGACAGTCCAGGAGGACAGAGGTGAAGAGGAGCAGTGGGCGAGGCTGCTGGAGGTGGGACCAGGAGAAGGAAGAAGGGAGGGGAGGGGACAGGAGGTGGCTGTGGCTAGGAGAGGGGGAGGAGGGGAACCTCGGACAGTCAGTGCCAGGGGTGACAGGTGCCCAGGTCCCAGCCCCTAGGGGCATATGGTGTGAAAGGGGGCCGCCAGGAGGCCCTCCAGACCCCGGGAGGGCCCTCTGCCCCCTTGGGAGGTGGCCGAATTCTCCCCACCCTAGACTGGGCTGGGGCCCTTAGGGGCTGGGCAAGGCGGCACCCCGCCCTCCCCATGCCTCACCCCAAACCCACTCACATACCACAGTTCCTTGCTCGGGCGCCAGCCCCTGCCAACCAGGCCAGGGGGCAGCACTGGTGCCAGCCCCCGATGGCCAGGGGGACCACGGGGCGAGAGCTGGCCGGGGGGAGGTGGACAGATGGGGGGAGCTGTGGGCACCGAAAGAGGAAGGAGCGGAGAGGGGGCATCTGCTGGGAAGGGCGCCTAGCCCCACCCCTTGCGCAAGCAAGCTGCTGCCACCCTGGCCGGTTGGGTGGGACCCGCCTGGGCCTGAGGGGCAACTCAGGAGGGCTCGGAGCCCAGACAGGGGTGGGCCACAGAGCCCTGCTGAAACAACTCCAGGGGGCTCTTAAATGAGGGCACTCTCGTGGCCCCCACACGCTAGGCCATCCCAAGTCCTGTGGGGCTGGGGGGACCTCAGAAACGCCCCCCAAAATGTCCCTTCCCCTTTCCCCCCAACAGCTGCTGGCTCAATGCCGCTGGCCTGCTGCCCCTCACCAGCTCCCGTCCCGGTTGGCACCTACCCACCAGGATGCTGGCAGTCGTGCCCTCTCTCCCTCCTACCCCCCTGCTCCCAGCGCCCCATGCCAACTGTGGGCCTGGGGTGGGGGAGGGTCACCCCTGTGCCTTGGTGCCAGCCAGGCGGGCCCAGGCCCCCCGGACCTACCGATAAGACCCAAGACCCTGTTCTCAAACAACCTCGAGGCGGCGCACGGATCCGGCCTGCAGAGAGCCCGGGGCACAGCCTGGTGAACAGTTATTGGAGGCTCCACTCCCCAAGGTCTCTCCCCGCCGCCAGGCGCCAGCCTCCCGGCATTCCCCCTGCCCGAGCGTTTGCTTGGGCACCAAAGTCAACTGCAATTCCCGAGAGCCTCAATGCCAGAGACCTAGGAGGGAGTCGGGTGGGGCTGCCGTCTGCCCTTTGATCCCCATAAAGGAGGGAGCCAGCCTAGAGGGCAGGGGATAGGGAGGGAGTCCGTGGGGCCCCTCCGTTTCACCCCTGCCAGGGGCAGCAGGGCAGGGTGTGGGCATCTCTTGGGTGGAGTCCTAAGGTGACAATGAGCAACATGTCTCAGCAGGGGAGGTGGATGTCAGTCCTGGGAACATGGTGTCACAGGGGAACAGGATGAGAAGCAGGTAGGGGGAAGGCAGAGGGCACCCGTGTCCCAATTCATCCCACTCCTGGCATTGATTTCCATCCAGACACAGTTCCAGATTTAACCAAATTGAGAGATCAAGGACTACAACTCCCAGTATGCACCACAGTTGTTTTGCATATTACCTTGGGAGTTGTAGTTCCCTTGAGAAGCCCTGTGCTCTTTCTTCTGGTCCCCAGAGTCCTGGCTGATGGGGTGGGGAGGGCCGAGCCCCAGACCTGGTCAGTCGCTAATCTCCGAGGAGACTGTGTTTCGGAGAGATAAAAGGCTGGGAGGTCCGTGATGCGGGGAGAGAACCATGCTCCCAGGCAAAGGGGGAGGAAAGGAGGAAGGAAGGAAGAGAGGATGTCTGTTGAAAGGGGCATATGGGTGGGGAGGAGTGGGGGGGGGCAGTGGAAACAGGAAGGAAACCAAAGCCAGAGACATGAGGTCGAAAGCAAGGTTTGGTGGAGCCCCACTCCGAGGCCTGGCAGGGACTGGGAAGGCATTTCCCCGTACCGCTCTGTGACCTGGGGAGGCGTAAGGGGAATTAGGAATGTCCAGCGATGGCAGGCCGGGGTGTTCGCGGCGGCGGCGCTGGCTCAGTTTGCCCGTCACCAGCACCTGGGCATCCTAGTGGATCTGGCACAGGGGTTTGGTGGCTGGGATCTGGCTCTGGAATACTAACAGGCCGAGAGAGGGGCCGGGGGACCTAAGGGACAGGCCTGAGGGGCGTCCGGCGGAGCGAGGTACGTGTGGGACAGGCCCAGGTGTGAGGTCAAGGACTCTGCTGGCCAAGGAGGGCGCTGTCCTCCGGCCGGTCCCTCCGGGCCGAGGCCATGGCCGCTGGATGCCAAGGCCGCCGGCCTCCCACCCACCTCGAGAGCCGAGAGCCAGGCCCTCTAGTCGCCCTGTGGTCTCTGCTAAGGGAGGTTCGCCGGTGCCAGGAAGCCCGTGAGCATTCGCCGTGGGAGCGCGGGGCCCTTCCTTGGCGGCAGTGGAGGTCAGAAGTGGGCAGAGGCTGTGCTGAGACCACTGCGCTTGGCTCCTCACGGCTCCAGGACACACGCTGCCAGCCCCAGCCAAGACTCGCCAAGACCTGGGCCTGGCCGGGTGGGGCGGTGGGGGGGGGGGGGTCTCTCGTGCCCTTCCGAAGCCCTTGCTGGTGGACTACAGTAGTCCTGACCCCTTCCCCCCAGTCCCCCAGGCCCGCCTTGGCGCCTGGCCGCCTGTGTGTTGGCAGGCCTGGGGGTGGGGGGGCGGCGAGGCAACTTCAAACTGTCCGGGCAAAACGTCAAGTTTACTCACGAGTTTACTCAGCAGAAGGAGGGGGAAGAGGCCAGGGCAGGCACACCCCATGCCAGGGTCCTATCTGTCCCCACCTTCCTCCCGCACCCTCCTCTTCAGCCCGAGGCCAACACGGGCATGGGCTCCAAGGCCTGGTGCCGGGGCAGCCCTGACTCTCTCGGAAGGTCAGGGAGCGGGGCTCGCCGAGGCAGGAAGCCCTGAAGCAGGCCCAGAGGCTCCCGTCGGCGGGCAGGGCCCTGCCCGGGGCCCATTCGTGGCCCGTCTCGGGGCCTCGGCGCCCGGGGAGAACTGGGTCTCTTGGACAGCAAGCAGGAAGCAGTACCGGGCCAGGCCTCCTCCACCTGAGCGGTCCCCGAGGCAGTGCCTTCTGACCCCAGATGCCCAGTCCTTGGCTGTGCCTCGGGCAGCCTGATGCCATCTGGGCAGCCATAGAACCAGGGGCTGCTGCTTTCAGCCTCGGCTTGGAATGGGGGGCTAGCACCCGTGTGACCTACTTCCCCTTCCGCCGCTCCACCTGCTTTCATTCTCCGCTCCTCTGCCCAGCCATGGCCGGCCCCTCAGAGCCTCCCGGTCCCCCATGCCCGTGCCCGCCGGGCCCCCCTCCCCCACCCTTCCCCAGGGTGCCAAGTGCAAGCACACAAAGGGCCCGATGGTGCATTGTTAGCCCAGCCCCCGCTGCCCGCCGCGCCCTCCTGGGGCAGGCACCAGGCCAAGGAGGAGCTGAAGGCCCTGGGTGCCAGGGGGCACCACAGGGAAGGGGGGAGAGGTCGGCACCTGTCTCCCCGACACGGGCGCACACCAGCCTGGGCTGGCGGTGAGGAGAGCGCCTCGTTAGGGCAGGCCTCGCTCCTGACACCTGAGCCCAGTGGGCACTGCCTCCTCTCTTCCCCAGAGCCCCTTTCCTGTGGCATTAACCCCTTCCCGACCCCTGTGCTCAGGCTGGGGGAGGTGTGGTACCCACGGGAGGGGACAGTGTCTGGGGGTGCCCGCCGGCTGCATGGTGCCCACAGCAACCGTGTAACAGAGGCGCGCTGGGGGAGCTGGGTCCCCGGGGCCAAGGACAGCAGGCGTTGGCAGAGATTTCTCCTTGTTTCATCAGCTGCTCCGGAGGGACCCCCCTGCCCTTCCCAGTCAGCACGAAGGAGGAACGCTACCACCCAGACTCGGTCACCAATATGTCCCTCCCCAGACCAGCACAGCCAATCCCCGTGCCCACTCTCCGCTCCCAACCTGATGCCCACTCCATGCCAGTTCTCCCAGCAGTGCCAGGCAGGTACAGGGGTGACCAAACCAGTTGGTGTGTGTGCAGGGGGGGGGAGATGGAAAGAGAAGCAGGAGGCAACCCCATAATCCTCCAGGCCTCACCCCCACACACATACATCCTCAGGGAACAGCGAGTTCCTATCCTGGTTTAACCCCTCGCTGCCTGATCCGCCCCCCCCCCCCCCCCCCCCCGCCCCTGATGCACGGCCTCCCTCCTCCAGAAATAAGCCGGGGGAAGGGGAAATAGCTGGCTGACTCATTCCCGCTCTCAGCTGCAGCTAAGGGTCTCTCAGGCCTCAGGGTGGGGGTCAATTCAAGAATGCCCTCCACCTGGCCCGGAAGCCAGGACAGCCCGCCGGTCTCCCCTCTCCCCGGCACCCACTTCCGGTGTCCCAAACTAGGTCAGCAGCGCTCGTTTCCTGTGGGTCAGCTCGGCACCGGCTCCTCTGCCCCTCCCCTGCTCCCGACCCAGGCTCCCCCCTCCCGGGGCGCCCCGAGGTCTCACCACGTCTCCGCCGCCCTTTGATACGTGGGGGTAGTGCGGGGCGGGGGGCAGGGACCCGCCCTCTCTCCAAACACCGGCCGGGCCGGGGCGCCCGGGCAGGCACGTGTCCGGGCACAACCCGCTGCCCACGCCGCCCCCCTCCACTCCGGCCCCCCCGGCTCCGGCCGGGACACGTCGCTCGCTGACTTGGGGTGGGGTGGGGTGGGGTGGGGTGGGAGGAGGGAACGCTGGGAATGGGGAGCAGCGCCCCCCGCCCCGGGCAGCCCGCTCCCGGCGGCGCTCCCCGCGGTCCCCACCGCCCAGGGGCGACCCCCACCCCGGGGAGGGCAGGTGCGCCGGCGGCGGGGTGCGAGCCGCAGTCCCTCCCCGTCACCCACCCTCGCCCCGGGGCCTGGGGGGCACTGAGCCGGCTTTGGAAGGCGGCGGCGGCGGGGTGCAGCCGGAGGAAGGGAGCGGGGTGAAGGACGGCGGAGAGGGGGGTCGCTCCCTGCCGCTCGGGGGGTGTCGCTGAGCCCCACTCCCAGGCCGGGAGCGCGGCGCTGGCAGCGCAGGAAACCGAATAGTCCGGCCGGTAACTTTCCCCCGGGCCGCCGCTCCCTCCCCGCGCGGCCCCCACCCCGCACGCCGCTGGCCCGGGGCCAGCCCGCAGCGCCGGGGGGCGCGGGGGGCGGGGAGCGTGTCCCAGTTAGAGCCCGTCAGCCTTTCCGCTCCCTCCGCGCCGCCGGCC